GGTTTGAATTTGAATTTCAGTTTAAATTTTAGATTTTAGATTCCAGTTTTATTTTTATTTAATCACTCAGTTAATTCATTTTATAACAGAATTCTTGTAATTTTAATTCCTTTTCCTTCAGCCAAGTGTGACTCCACGATCCGTGAGTTTGACTCCCCCTGGCACCACAAAATTTGGGGAAAATTCCACAAAATTTGGGGGAAAATTCCATAAAATTTGGGGAAAATTCCATAAAATTTTGGGGAAAATTCCCCAATTCCACAAAATTTGGGGAGAAAACCCCCGGGCCTGCAGGGTTGGGAGGGCCGAGCCCGAATTTGGGGACGAAAAGGGAAAAAGGAGGAAAATCCCTGGGAATTGCTGGGGTTGGGATGTTTTTGGGGGAATTAATGGGATTTTCTGCTTCCAGGGATTTTCACGGTGGAACTCGGTGAGTTCTGTCCCGTTCTGCCCTCGTTAATTCCGTCATTAATTAATTAATTCATCCACCAAAACTCCTAATTTGTATTTATTTCTCCTCATTCCCAGGCAAACAACACACAAAAATCGGTGAGTTTTGGGCAATTTCTGCCCCAAAAATTCCTGGGAATCCCAAATTTCCCTTCGCTGGGGCTGCCGGGAAAATGAACATTTGGTCTCAAAATTCCCATTTTTTCCTGTTTTTCAGGGGAACTCACGGCCGATGTCGGTGAGTTGGTCCCACATTTTGGGTGGAAATTGGGCAAAAATTCAGCACTGGGGAATATTATTGTTATTACATTATTATTGTTGTTATTATTAAAATATTTTCAATTCCTCCTGGGTTTTTTTTTCAGAGATCTTCAATAAAAAGTTCCGTAAGTGCCTGAATTTTCAATTTCCAGGATGAAATAATTTTTAATAATTTTTTTAATGATTCATTGCCAATTCCATCCCATTTTYCTCCTTTTCTCCCTTTTCCCAGAGGAACACCAGGCAGAACTGGGTGAGGAATTTTCTTTTTTGGGGCATTTTCCATGAAAATCTGAGGGGTTTAAGGGGAAAATTTGGATTTTCAT